TGTTAATCGGGCAAGCTTGCATTTAAATGTTGATTAATACAAACAATAAACTACTTTATAAAACATACTTTTATTGTTTGTTTTCATCTACATTTATGAAACTGTTTTAATGATTTCTCATGTTGGCAAAATTTGAATATTTACAAATAAATTAAAGTAATGCAAATAACATTCTCAACCCCTTAATAAACAATGATAGTTTTAGTAACCTACAGAAAATGCATTGTGGATAATTTTTTGACTTGGTTGTGGCATTTTTTGTTAAAATTATTACATACAGTGATCACTGTGTAAAGTAGACCAGGCTCAAATTTATACCCAGAATTTTCAGTGCTCTCACAGTGAATGAAAGGTATAATCGCTTAAACACAGACAGAGAATTATATGTGTAGTATGCAGATAGCATATTACTACTAAGAAACTGGTGATAACGTGAAAAATCTAATAAAACCCTGTGTGAAGTTGTATATGTTTTCAAACTGAGTTACTTTAATTTGTAATTTGAACAGGTAGGCAGCTAAATTGCCCCAAATGAGGAAAAACAGTATATACAGGTGATACTCAAAAAATTAGAATATTGTGCATGTATGAGATAGACTCATTAAATGCAAAGCAAGATAGTTCAAGTCGTGATTTGTCAAAAGTGCGATGATTATGGCTTACAGCTCATGAAAACCCCAAAACCATAATCTCAGTAAATTATCATATATTAGTTTCCCCTTTTAATACATTTTTAGAGTATCACCTGTAAATTCCAAATTTTAAAATTTTAATTTCTAGGTGCCTGACTTTGTCCTTTGACAACACAAACTGAAAACCTATATGTGGGAGGTACTGCTATAATTATGCAATATAGCTAAATAATGTATGTTTTTTTACTGTGGTATCAAATGTAAATGAAATGCAAATGAAATTTGTAGCAAAAATGCAGAAAAAAATAATACATTTGCCATACAATGACCAAATAACAAGGCTTAACATACCCTATTTAAAATACTTTACTTGAGTATGTTTTAAAATTGCATGGCTTTATTTGTGTAATTAGAGATGATCGACATAAAAAATAACTCAGATACAATCTATATAATTCAGCAAAACTGTCTGCCAAAATTAGTTTTAAAACAGAAATGTGCTTTTCAATTATTAAATGTATCAACACAAATATGCATTATTTACTGCAGAAGTATGTATCATACTTACAAAATTCAACACAAAAATGAAAAAATGTGTCTGTGGAAGACAAACAAAATATTTGCGAACAATATTTTCCTGATATAATATATGTTTGGGTGGCAGTTTTCAAATTTCTGATCACTATTAAACATACAGTACCAGCATTACATATTGTGAAAACTTTTTTAGTTTTAAAACAGTATTGCTGTCCCTATAATATCTAATTTATAATAAATAATAAGTTCTACCTCTCAAGAAAAGAAGTTATTTATCACAGATTATAAACTCATTTGAGCATGGGTTTCTACATCCTTAATATCCCCTTTATATAAATTTAAAGCACTGTGGATTTGTTGGCACTATGTGAATGCTACTACGACTATTACTACTAATAATTATCACATATGGGGAACATTTACAAGATTTGCATGGTAAAAATGCTCCAGTTCCATGGTGTTTAAAGGAACACTGTAGCATTAGGAATAGAAATGAGTATTCCAATAGTTTTAATATCCTGTAGCCATTTACCTACCATCTCCTCATTTGCATGAAAAGGTAGATTACTTAAAGTCCGACAGTGCCACAGTGCTCCAACCCAATGACTCAGATCATCGAGATAGATGAACTTGTTCAATGCAATCACAGGAGGGTTAGTGCACATGCGCAGCAATGTGCCATGCTGCGCAAATTAGATGGTCTCTAAGTTTTACATGGCTATTTCTGCAGATGTGCCTAGCGTGGCTGTCAGTACAAAACCTGCAGAACAACGATGTTTGCAGTTGCAGGGTTAAAAGCACATCTCTCCCATCTCCATTCCTCCTCTCTCTTTTCCCCCCTACTGTTAATTCTCCACTGGCAGCAAACCAACTTAGGAGAGTAACTATCCTGTACTTATTCACAGTCTCAAAACAGAGAATCCATATACATTAAGGACGAAACATTCAACCTCTGTCCCTAACTGCCAGAGAGCAAACCCTACCTGTGGGGAATATAACCATAACTTGAATGTACTTATTAAAGATGTATTGCACCATGCTTATAGAACTATTCCTTTTGAATTAAGCTCTGACTAGACACTAAACGCATCAATGAGACACCTGTAGCTCTCTTACCTTTAGTCTTGTTGTACTCTGCTGAGATACACTGATACTTTTGTACTTACATGCATGTTCGCTGTCACTGACTCAGAATTGTAATAAACTATCACTTTTTGAAAAGAATAAAATAAAAAAGTACAGGTTCATGGACCCAGACCATTTCATTGAGATGAAGTGGTCTGGGTGCTTATAGTGTCCCTTTCAGGTGTTAATGGCACCATGCAAGCACTATAAGTATTACAACTCATTGTTGGGGCCAATGTTGTTATACATCTATGGGATCCATCTTCTGTTTTGTTGAATATTTTAGAAGCACCAGCACTCTTAGATGATCACTGTAATGATATTAATGTTACAAAGGTTTGGAGTCCAGCAGCTAGATCAGCAATGTTTTATGCCAGAAGTAGCCACTTGTTACCCAGGTGGTTGAGCCCTTGAGCCTTGAGTAGCCGTCTGGTGGCCGCAAAGCAGAAGAATATGGCAAAATATCCATTTGGTGTGCTGGTCTTGAAAAAGCCAGCGATGGTACTATCTTGCCAAAAAGAGAAATCCGGGATTATGAAACCCTCCTGAAATCGATGGGGTATGTGGATGGAAAACCTCCTAAGAACTCCTCCAATCAAACCTGCTCTTCCTTACAACCTATAACCATAGGTACACGGACACCCACTTTGATAAAACCTTCTATACCTCTGACTCTCAAATCGGGGTTAATGAAGAAAAATAATGAACCCATCTCAACACTCTGGGTAAAGGAAAATACTGTAACTGAAGAGATACCACCTGAATGCACCAAAGCCTCAAATGCAACTATTGTATGTCTAAAATACTTAACCATGTTTGAGAAGCTACTGAAAAACAAGGAAAAGAGAAAATGCAAGAGAAAGAAATAATGATTTTGATTTCTGTTTATTGTGGTCTGTACATTACTTCATTTTTGGAATTCTTTCCATTCTACCAGAGACCTTCGCATTCGGAGTCCGCTCTTGAAGGAGGGGATTTTGTCAGGATCCTATCCTGACAACCAGGAACATTCATTTTCTTCTGTTATTATTTCATGTAATACTTGTTTCTTGCCTCTAGCGTCCTCCCTTGTCACTAATCTCCTCAGGCACCTTATCATCCCCAGCTGCCTGGACTAATGAAGAGGCTTCATAAGGTTACACCATGCTCACAACAGGGCCTTTACATTGAGAGTGTGAAGTTGTGCTCTGCTCCTGGCTCTTACTGAGATTTGTTATAATCTGATAAAGACCTGTTCCTAACTCAATTGAATCCTGACAACCTGCTCCACCCTTACTTATCTGCAACCATATTGATTCAACTCTGCTTTATTTCTAAACTGGACTTTGGTTTCATATTGTTTTTCCTCTCAAACTGCCTGGATATTATGGACATTATCATTTGCAAGTATCCTCAAACACCCTGAATCTACAGTTCAGTTTATAATCCAACCAAAGAGGCTGATCACCTCTATTGCTTTGCTTCAATCTGTTATACTTTATCCCTTTATATTACTGTTTAGTTTTTACTAATTGTTTTCCTATTTCCTGTATTCCTGTTTTGGAGCATATTGCCTAAACCTCTATTATTTCACCTTCTACTTACTCACCTGCAATTCTGTTTTCCCCCTTTATATATGTTATTCATTTTCTCTGTTTGTCTTATTTATAATTTTTCCTTTGTCTAAACCATGCCTAAAAAATCAAATAAACTACCAGTAGTAAACCCCGGCATAAGTCTCCTGTCTGACCTGCGCAGAATCATGACAGGTACTGTGCGTAAAAAGACCAAAGAACAACAGGAGTGTCGTGATTGTCCACTGGCTCCCATAGCCTTTCCAAAGAACAAAGAATTGAAGATCCTGGAGTCAAGTATTTTTTCCACCTCGTATTCATCTTCACCATCCACCAGGACTGGTGGTGGGGCAGGCAAGGCTCGACCAGGGAAAGGATTTTCATGAAAAGGTTTAAGCAACGTGACCCAATTTATGAGCAGGAATCCTAAGCTTGAGATTATTTGTTAATAAACTGGGGCCTCCTTTCTATGCCTATCAGCAGCTCTTTTGTAACATCCCTGAGCTTCCAAAAGAGTCTCTTTCAACAGTGCCTGGAAATCTCGTAAGGCGGTGAGCCGGTCAATGACTGAAGGAATGGGAGTAGTAATTGGGAGACTCACTAGAAAGGTTGGATGGTAACCATAATTGGCAAAAAATGGGCTCAGAGAAGTGGAGCAGTATTGGGCATTGTTATAGGCAAACTCTGCCGTGGGTAGAAAATCCAGCCAGTCATCTTGCAGGTAACTAACACAGCACTGCTTAGCAAATATTGTTCTAAAGTCTGTTTGGTTCGCTATGTCTGTACATTACTTTGGGGATGAAGAGCTGATGACAAATTTACAATAATACCTATAATAGACTAGAAATATTTCTGAAAATTAGACATAAACTACACTCCTCTGTCAGAAATTACTTCATCAGGATTTCCATGTGTTACGGTTGCCTCAGGCTAGCTAAGAATTGGATTGTTTGGATGTCCTTGTCCCCGATCCTGGAGAGCGGTAGAAAGTCCCCAGCGATCTTCCTGCAAGTGTAGAGTATCCCTGGAGCTCTTAGGAGAGCTAGTGATCAGCATTTTCCTACAACACGAGTCAACGCTGTGAGTTGAGGGTAAGAAGTCTGGTTTATTGAACGGCAAGGCATTGCTTATATACACATTATTAGGCCAGAGGCACACCCCTCTGGACCTGATGGTACACAGTGTTACAAGGAACAATAACCAATAAGAACAAAGTGCATCTTTTCAAACCCTCCCCTCTATCCTGGAGATAATTAGCTTAAATGGTTACAGTAACTTAATTATCTCCAGGTACAGGCAATATTCTGGTTTTGCAATTACACTAAAACCTACATAAAAATCCATAACTCATAAAGTATATTATTTAACTTATACATTCAACATACAGCTTGTATCTGAGCGCACAAAATATCAGAAAAGCGCTCAGATCTTACTAATGGGATGGGAACGCCATGGGGATAAAGTTTGTCTCCAGGGGTATTCAGTAAAATTCAACCCAGTAATTAGCTCTCCAATGTTCAGTCATAGGGTCGGTATAACCTCCAAAGACTCAAAGTACCGAACAGCACTGTGTTAGTTGATTTAAATCCAAATGGACTAGGTTCTGGAGATCCCAGCAGCACAATAGTATTCGAAAAGAGTACCAGGAGGTCGATGACCAAGTCCCGCTGGGCATTCAGCAGTTAAAGATGACCGCCACCACGTGTTCGTGCATACGAACGATGACCACCCAGCCGATCGTCAATTAAGCTGCGGCTAAGCACAAAACCGCAGCTTCTGGGCGGTTAATAGGGGCCACACTCCTCATGTAGGGTGGTCAGTCGTTCGGTAATATGTTCAGTATTTTGTTCGGTAGTTTAGAGGGGAATGAGGTTAATAAGCATAAAAACGCAGTTTCTGGGTGGTTAATAGGCGGCACACACCATTTGCCGGGTGGTCGGTCATTCGAATGCCCTGGTGAAGGTTTTCATGGGTTTTATTATAGCACATAAATAGCAACAATGTAGCAAAAGTGGCAGACAGAGGGTACTTTGTAACACCATGCAAGCAAAATATTTCCCGAATAACTAGGTCAAAAGTCTGTTTAGCGGAAGGGAGACCACAAGCTGGTATGAAGTGACTTATTTTAGTTAACCAGTCCACAACAACAAGGATTGTAGTTGTTGTATAATTTTTCTCACCACCAATACTTCCAATTGGTATCCTTTTGAGAGAAATCCACTCTGCATTGTGTGTTAATAGAGAATGTAATATCCCTGTGTCACCTCTTCCAAGAACTAACACATATCTTTATCCCTTTGTCCAGATAAATACATGACTAGCACAACTATAGGTATTCTACCCAATATTACAATTAAACAGCCAACACCATTGTTCTTACCAGAGAGAAAACTTTACTTAGAATCTGCCCAGTTAAATATTACAGAAGAAGAATGTTAGAGTTATAGTATTACATGGGAGACTTTGTTCCCATGTTATAAATAGCCACTTCCTCGGCTCAGTTGATATGTAAATGTGATTTACTTCCCCAAGGCACAAAGTGTTGTCAATCCTGTCATTTTATTTATGTTTGCCCTAAGGTGTCTCATTTGAAGACTAGTTAATATGTAAATGTGATTTACTTTCCCAAGGCATAAAGTGTTGTCCATCCTGTCATTTTATTTATGTGTGAACTCTCCCAAGGATTCAGGTGTTGTATCTTTCAAACTATCTAAACAGAAACTCCCTTTGAATATATCTGTTTATATTTATTCCTGATCTCCCATACACACAGACTTAATCAAGCACATATTAATCATATATATAATCATAATATGTTCCTTAGAGGGAGGTAGTTCCACAATAAAGTCCATGGATATAGATCGCCAGGGACGATGAGGAATCAGAAGAGGCTGAAGCAAACCAACAGGGGATAAGCGAGGAGTCTTATGTCTGGCACATACATCACAAGAGGACACATATTTCTTAACATCATCACAATATTTAGGCCACCAGAAGGATCGGGAAAGTAGTTCTTGTGTCTTTTGGATTCCTGGATGACCTGCTGATTTTGATTCATGGTAGAGACGTAAAACGTCCAGTCGCACTGATTCTGGAACAAACACACGTTGTTGAAAAAATCCAAAACCCATTAACCAAAGTCATATGGAGATCAAACTGGATCTTCAGCATATCCCTTTTTAATGCAAGACATTAGGTCAGAAGGAATAGTAACTCCTAAAAATCTACTCTCCGACAAGATGGTGGTTTTTGGCTACGGCAGTATGGAGAGGGTCAGCTATCCTAGACAAGGCATCCACCTTGCCATTGCTGGAACCAGGGCGGTATGAAATAAAAAAATTAAACCTGGAGAAAAATAGGGACCAGGGTGCTTGTCTGGCTGACAGTCTCTTAGCTGATTAAAAACATTCCAGATTCTTGTGATCTGTGAGGACAGTAATTGGAAGGGTGATTCCCTCCAAGAGATGTCTCCATTCGGTGAAGGCAGATTTTATAGCCAAACGTTCTTTATTCCCTATGTCATAATTTCTTTCTGCTGGTAACATCTGACGTGAATAGAAGGCACATGGATGTAAAATCATGTTAGGTTCAATCCTTTGAGAAAGTATAGCCCCAACAGCTGAATCAGAAGCATCTTCCTCTACAGCGAATGGCAATTCTGGCTGAGGGTGCACCAGAATAGGGGCAGATGTAAACAGAGTTTTTCATCTGGGAAATGCAGTGTCAGCCTTATCGGACCACTCAAAAGGGTAAGTTCAGTCATCGGTGTGATAACGGCAGAGAAATTCTTAGCGAAACGCCTGTAAAAATTGTCAAACCCCACAAATCTCTGAATATATTTTTCATTCATGGGGATAGTCCAGCACAGCTTTAATTTTACTTGTGTCCAGTGGTGTATTTTGGAAATGTGCTGCCCTAGGCAGGACAAAACTGGGGTAACACCCCCGCCCCCCAAATTTAAATTTGTCCCACCCTTCCTGTCAACGCTGCATGCACTTTGACTGACAGACACTTTTTCAATGATGCATGCACTGACGTACACTTACTGAAACATACAGTCATTGGCACACATGCTGTTTAACCAACACACACTTTCACTGGCACACACACTCACTGACAGGAACACAGTCTCAGATGCACTGACATACAATGACATACACACGCACTCACTGATTTGACAAACTGACAGACACACACTATTACTCAGATACACACTGACAGATGCACACACTCATTGACAGAAACATACACTCACTGATTTGACACACTGACAGACACACACTGACTGACTCACACACACTCACTGATTTGACACACTCTGAAAGATACACACTATTACTCAGACACACACACTGATTGACTCACACACACTCATTGACAGGCACACACACTCACTGACACACAGACACACACACTCACTCACAGACACGTACACACACACATACACATTTTCCCGAACACTCACAAATTATTATTTTTTAAAATGTATATTTAAATCCACCCAGCCTCCCTGGGAGAGCTGGAGTGGTTTCCTCAACTGGGGTCCAGTGGGGCTGCTGGGCTGGCTTGTGTTGCTGGGGAGGTGTCCGTGCAGGCAGGGGGTGGACAGGCAGAGTAGGCAGCGAGGGAGCTCTGATCTTCCTGCTCTTCCTGTGGTTTTCCATTCATCATTTGGTCATGCGAACCAGATTATATTCCCCCAGTAAATCAAGTTTTGTAAATATTTTAGCTGACCGAAGTCTCTCCAAAAGTTCAGGAAAGAGAGGCAAGGAATAGAGGTTTTTAACAGTGATGTTATTAATGTCTCTGTAATCGACACATGGGCATAGACTGCTGTCTTTCTTTGCTATGAAGAATATAGGAGCTCTTGCTGGAGAAGTAAATGGTCGAATAAATCCTTTGGCAAGATTTTCTTGTAAGTATTCACAAAGTGCATTTAATTCAGGCTCAGTAAGGGAGTATATATGGCCAAACGGGATAGCAGCTCCAGTTAGCAGCTCTATCAGCCAATCATAAGGCCTGTGAGATGGAAGCTGATCAGCGTTCTTCTTATCACAGACATCTGCAAAATCCCGATATTGTAGAGGAAGCTTAGTTAAGTTTGTAGCAACCATTTCATTAATTGTTGTGGCAACAGGTGCTGCGTTAGAGGGTTGACAATTCATTAAGCAGTGTTCTGAAGGAAATGACAACGTTCTAGTCTTCCAATCAATCTGTGGGTTATGCACAGCAGGCCAGGGCGTACTCAAAATCACTGAAAACTGTGTTGAGGAAATTAGGTGGAACGATATAGACTCATGGTGATTCACTTCCAGAATCAATTTTAAGAGCACAGTCTCATGTGTAACCGGGCCGGGCGTAAGTGGAGAACCACCTATGTTCCATTAACACAAGTGAATATTTAGGGATAGACTGAATTTTATTTCCTGCTGCAAATTTAATGTCCATAAAGTTTCTGCCTGCTCCAGAATCTATCATAGCTGTAGTTAAAATCTTATTATCACCAAATTGCAAAGTGATAGGCACCACTAAATGAATATGTTGAGTCCTCATAGCCTCTTCACCCTGAGCCAGTGAAAACAAGGGTTGTGTGACAGAATCCAGTTGGTCTGAAATCTGGGATTGGTGTTGGATCTGTGCACCGTCAGCAGTCATAGATATTGTTCTTTTATACTTGATAGGGCAATTGATCGCATAATGCCCTGCCTAACCACAATACAGGCATAAATTGTGAGTGGGTCACCACTGTTTTTCTTCATTAGACAATGGCCCTCTTATTAGATCTACCTGCATAGCCTCAAGTTCAGAGTTTGTAGGTGTTTTTGGTGTCAGAGTAGAAATTCATGAATAGAAAGCAGGACTAGCAATTGGTTTAAAAGAGCCCTGTCTTTACAATCTTCTTTCTGAAAGTCTCAGATCTATACGCATAGCCAATCGTACAAATGCATCAAACTCAACACGAACCATGTTTATAGCTTCTGAGAGACCCCTTTTGAAGTGTAGCCTCTTGGCTGATTGGTTCCAAGTAGTATCAGCAACCCAATGTCTGAATTCAGCAGCATATTCAGCCACAGAGCGCCTCCGTTGATGTAAAGTAAGGAGAGTGTTTTTTGCTGTAGCACAGTGATTGAGGTTATCAAAAACTAGGCACATGTCCTCAAGAATGTCTTTTAAATTTCCCAAGACTGGACTGTCCTGTTCCAGAAAAGAGGAACCCCAGGCCAGGGCTTCATCTTTGAATAGGGAGAAAATAAATCACACCCTCTCTCTTTCAGATGGAAAACAGTTAGGTAACATCATGAAATGCAAACAGCATTAATTTAGGAAGCCTCTACAATTTTGGCAGTTACATTCAAATTTTTCTGGTAGAGGCAAGCTGGCATCT